TAAGTGACCAGAAAAAGGCTCTCAAATCCATGACACACAAAGAAGGATTATCATCAGAGATTCTGAGTATCAAAACATCCATCTGAAATAAACCCAAGCACAATACAAGCATAAGCAGAAGGTGTCTGCTTCATTATGGTTACTTAAACAAGGACCTTTTCAATCAAAAAGTAAGGGAGTAAGCAATAACAAGACCTCAGAGAAACACAAACCCAGTAGGCAAGGGATAACAGAAAATGTCAAAAATCTCCCATCACTAAACAATGAGCTGTTAAGAAACTACAAGTGCAGCTTGCGAAAGGGTTGACCTGGACTTAGTAACTGACAAGAGGTGGGAAACAAGAGTTAAAAACGTGGATTTGGGACATTTGAGGGAATTCTGTGGGACCATGCAAAACTAACAAAAGAAAGTGACGGGTAAAGGGATCAGGAAGGAACAAGGCTGTGTGTGTGTATGCACAGGCAAACACCAAGCTTGACCAGCTGGTGAGCAGAAGGCCATAGGAGGTTCCTGACAGAGTTATCAGTAGGGTGGAAGATCTGCGTGCTGGTATTTGGGAGATCCTGCCAGTGTGGAGTACCTGTGCAACAAGTGTCTGGGGCCAGCAAGCACCAGACTGGACTGGCAGGCAAATAGCGGACCTATGGGACAGCAAGAGGTATCCAGGCAAAGGTATTGGGTGAATACAGTGGCCATGCTGGTGCTTGGGGGATCCCAAAATATATGTGTGCTTGTGCACCTAGTGAGTGCAATGTACATGCTCCCCACTAGGGAGCTACAGCACTAATATGTCTTACACAGAGATGCTGCTTAAGAAACACCTTGTCTGTGCCAATCGGTGTCCATGCCCTGTGTCTGTGTGTCTGTGTGCCTGTATCTCTGTAATATGCACTTATCTTTCTAACGATTTGAGGTCAAACAGTTCAGCCTGTGACTGAGTACCCAGATCTCTGAGCTCCTGGGTTGGGCAGGAGGAAAACCTGAGCTTGGTGTTGCTGGAGTTGACAACCACTTATAGCATCCCTTAATATACAGAGCCCCAGAAACCTTTGTGATCTGAAGGAGGTTGAAACACTTAAATTGAAATGTTATCTGCCATACCATAAGACGGGCAAGAACAAGCTGCTGTTAGTGATCTGCAAAACATTATGGAAACACATAGTAGAGGGAGTGAGGTGGTCAATCCATTAGATCACTTTCTCAGTAAGTCTCATTAGAAAATGAGAGTTCTTAACAATTTAAAACCTTCAGACTTTTTTCTTTTTTTCCCTGTGAATGCCTAGTGAAATAGAGGTTGAAGCCAGAGTTTGACAGGTCATCCAAAATGCAATTTTTTCCATGACCTGAGCTAGCTGCAAATGCCCTGCTCTCAAGGAACCACAGATTCAAGCCTAGTTCAAATAAAATATGTACATGATTTTTTTCATGAAAATATGGTCCTTAATTCAATAAATCCTCTAACCTTTTGTCATACTTTTTCAAGGTATTTGCAGGCAACAAATTTATCCTGCCTCAGCCTGCATTGTGCTGGTCTAAAAAAAAATAAATAATTAATTTCTATTTCCCTCTTGTAGGTTGTCGAATCTAATGGGAAATTTGCCAGTCCTGTCTTGAACTCAGATGCTCAATTTATCTTTCTTGAACATAACTGACTAGACAATATCATACCATTATAGTGACTTTTCCCTTCTTTAATCTAAGTACCTAATCTGACAAAATTTAAGATTTAATTGGTTATTTTCTTGTTTACAGACACTCTTAGTTACTAATCTGTGAGCTTAATCTACTCTATATTCTCATGTTCCTTTGAGGGGCTTACTACACTGTTGCCTTGGAGGTTTTGACTTTTTAATTTTTATAGGTTTTAGAAGTAGTTATGTAGTGAATGTAGGTTTTAAATGTAGCTGCATTTATTATATTCCTTACACTTTAGCATAGCAGTTACACATATCCAACCCTATTACCCCATTTCATATCAATTCCCCCTAAAATCCAATAGCATATTTAGTCTCTTTTTCAAGGTAGGCCTTCATTTTGTTTAAGAACATCTGGACCCTGGCCTGGACAACAAGATATCACTTAGGACTTCTGAAAGTCTCCAAGGACTGTACGTGCTCTAAAGAAGATGAAGATGAGGAAGAGGGGTCCCAAAACTCCCCCAGACTCAATTCCTGAGGGGCAGAACGGGGCAAAGGCCAGAGTGTGGATGAACAGGGATTGGATAGACATCATTATAAAAGTTGTAACTCCTGGGTCAGGGTGTGTGCATGGTTTGTATTCTCAGAGCCTGAGAGGCTTCATTAAAACCTTCCCTTATCTTACCTCCTACTTAAATTGCCCTGGAGTTTTTTTTCTCCCTGAGTCTTTTAGGCGACACACAAATGTTGTTATGAATGCTAAAGTGCATCACCTCACACTCTGTTGTACAATTTTTCATCTCAAATCATTCAAACATATTTTAAAGTTAATACTAAAATGATATGCAGTAAGGTGGCTGAGAAGCATATTCAGTGGGATTTTCAACTCCCTGGGAAAGGACTTTCATTATCCTCTAATCATTAATGAGGGAAACATGACAGTCCACTATTTCCAGAGATCCCACCTTTGGGGCTGTGGTTTGGGTAGGTGAAGATATGTGCTTGCACAGTTGGCTCAGGTCTATAACCTCTGGAGTGGGGAAGGGAATCAGAAATACTCAGTTTGGCGTTTCTTTTCTTCACAAGCACATCTCACTGTTAGGAGCTAGGACTCAAGTTCTCTTTGGAGGTTGCTAAGCCTGGTTGAGTATCATTTGCAGGTTATCTTTTTTGAATCTGAAGTCCCTGAGACCAATTAAAGCAAGAACTATGGTCTCCTGGTATCTTAAGCAGCCATGAAACCTTGGGTGAGGGAGAGGATGATGGGTGCAGCAACGCAAAAGTACGAAAGCATTGTGTAGTTCTGAAAGGACTAAAAACCTACAAAGAAAGAAATTTTTATTTTATTTAGCTAGTTTAATGAATTAAAACTTTTGAAGACAATATTTTTGCATTCATAGAGGCTAGAAGGATGTCAGAACTACAACCACAGAGCACCATGTAATAGCTGCAGGTGCAGGGAAAAGAAAAAATTTTCTCCAGAATTTACTGCACTTTCATTCTAAAAGCACTTTAGATTGGCTGAAATTCCTACAATAATGCAATATTGTCTCTAGGCAATCCCATTTTTCCTAAGAACACTGACACTATAGCAAAAATGCTAGCATAGCAAACTGGAAGAAAACTCTCCCTAAACATGATGGATTGCTGTTTTCAGGCAATTTTTCAAATGCTGTTTATCCTCTATCTAGATATTCATATGACTTAGATATAAAAGTTTGAAATATAATTTTAGTCTTTATTAACCTACAGGAATTGTTCCCTAGGGCATATTTTAGTGCTCTAGCATAATTTAATAGAGGAAGAAAAACTAAATAAAATTAAGTTTGATGTGTTCTTCTGTTTATTAAACTTGCTTTGATTGAGATAAATTAATTATTTTTAGTTGCAGTTTAAATGACCATAATGATATAATTTTCAATATTCAGTATGTGATTTAGACTATTTGCAATAGGATTTTTGAACAGTAACACCATCTGATTAATCTACTTAACAATCACTAACTGATGAGTATATTACAGCATATGACAACAATTCATAAGACTTATGGTTCTCTTCATGAGGAATAAAACTGACATACAATTTTCATTTTTGATTTGGTGCTTCTTTTTGTACTACATATAAAGGAAGAAAACTGGAAATATTTTGTGCAGTTAAAATATTCTCAAAGAAAGAAACAAATTATAATGTTAATAATTACAAGTAGGAGTTAGGGATAAGGGAACCAATTTGATGAAAAAAAAATTTAAACAAAAATCCTCACTAGTTTATCTCATGTGATGTTTAAAAAAATTGCTTTTATTGACATCAGAATTATGGTATTTTTAATCTGTAAGCCAGCCTGTCCAATATAAACCTTTTTTATTAACCTTGACTTCAATGCAGCATTCACAGGGACCTTGCACGTGTTCTGATCTCTGAGTCATTGGAGTTTCTCCAGGTCTGGTTTTGGAGGCTTGGACTCCTGACTCCAGGGAGACCAAGCAGTGGTACTGAACTGACAAACACCTCAAAATGTCCCTTACACTTGGACATCACATCTGAAGTTGTGAGAATACTATTCATCTCACAGCCATCATGATTTAACAGCCTCTTCTATTAGCATCTATTTTCAGTGGTAATTCTTAAGAAGAAATTCATAAATCAGTGACCTGAGGCTCAGTGAACTGTCTCATTCATTCCTGCTGCAGGGGCAGGAGCCTTCAATAGGAAGACAAAACAGGTAGTTCTGGGCAAAACACTGGAACAGCCAAGTTTGTCTGCAGCTCTAGGCAGAGACCTTGTTCACACATGGCACACGATGTCGAACAGCAGAGTCCCCCTGACTATCAGCAATGTCTACCATAGATGATCTGGAGCATCATCAGCAATGGCAATTAAGATCATAAGAACCTTGGGAAAAAAGGTGCTCTTGAATACATACAAAAAGCAACCACTTGCCCTTTCCCACCCCACCAACCAAACCAAATAAAACAACAAAATGGCAGCAAGAAATCAAAGAACCAGTTACAGAGAGAAGAAAATTCTCTACCAATTTCTTCACTCTCGTGACCAGTGATAGGACTCAAGGAAATGGCATGAAGCTGAGTCAGGGTTTAGAATTTAGGTTAGATATCTGCAATCACCCAGATTTCACCAAATTTCCTGGAACAGGCTCCCTAGGGAAGTGGTCACAGCACCAATCTTGTCTGAATTCAAGAAGCATTTGGACAATGCTGTCAGGCACATGATGTGATTCCTAGATCTGTCCTGTGCAGGGCCTGGACCTGGACTTTGCAAGTGGTGACAAGGACAAGGACACTGTGCAAGTGGTGAGCTGTGCTTGTTAGTAATTAATGGTGGGAGTGTCTTAAGGCAACCAGTTAAGTTAGTTAACATTTCAGTAATGAAAATAGTTTTGCTTTAAACAGCAGTAAATGGACTGAAAATGCAGCAGGTTTGAAGTGGAGAGGCTGAAGATTCAGAGGCACCTTCAGTTGATCTGAGTTTCTTCCTGTAACTCATGAAGAAGTCAAGACGATGATGATGATGATGATGATAATGACAACAACAGCTATCAATATTGCCCACATCTTACAGTTCTTCCACCAATACTTCCTTTTCAGCTTAGCTGCACTGGTCTCAAATTGGGAAGCTCCTGCTTGCAGTGCATCAGCACGGTCGTCCAGCTCTAATAGCTTCTGATCTCGCTCCAATACCTTGTCCACATTCACTCTCATGATGTCAACAACCTCATCTACTTGATGTTGAGTCTGCTGAAGTCGACGATTACTGCCAGCAGCCAATTTGAGCTTCCAGGGATACTGGCTGACATCCTGCCGGCGGGAAGGGCCGTGGCCACAGCGACCCTAATGGGTCCCTTCCAATTCAGCATATTTTTGATTCTGTGAACATTCTGTTTACAATTAATTAGGAAATACTACATTATTTTCTCTTTCATTCTGACACAAACTCTTTCTATCCCTATTCTTCCACTGGTCCTCATTGTAAAAGTTCTGCTACTTTTTAAAACATTTTGGTACTAAAAAATTTGCTTTTAAAAATAAGCTGTAGAGATATTTTCTCTGATCTTAATACATTTTTCTCAACTTCCTAAGGATATTAGCCTTGAACCATACAAATTCTTAACCTAACTTTCTCCTGAGTCATGCTATAGTTGCTCATGCCACTTTGGCAGACACACAGCCCTTATTCTTCAGGGGTGAAGTAGCTAAAAGACTCAAGAACAATTTTCATTACTTGGTGGCTCCTCTGTGCTATCTTTGTATACCAGTACTCAAAATTACATTGTTTATGGAAAGATCTCTCTATAACTTTTCTGCAAAAATTTCATTATTCTCGTAAAATTGGGATTTTCTATGAAAAAATACGACTATTTCATAAAGTAGGAGTGTTTTGGGTGATACACTCTCACAGATTTTAGACTGGAGGAAAAGAGTTTAATAAATAAATATTTATAAAAAAACATTTTGCAAGTAAAAATAGAGCACTGGAAGGCATAGTCTGACATTTTCATTTATTGCAAAGTCTTAAGAGCACAAAATAAATAAGTTTTTTCTTCAGGATAATTTCATCTATGGAAATTTGTTTGATTATGATGTAGGAAGAGTCTAGTTGTACTTTTGTTACAGTTTTTGGTTTATAGCATCACCTAACTCAGGTTTATTCTCATCCAATCATTCTGAAAATGGTAAGTATCATCAATCCATCAATGGTTACTTTCAGGGATTAGTTAAACTGAATATTTTGGGAACCATGTGGCAGAGAAGTGGAAGAGCACTAATCCATTAACTTTTCTTTTTGCAATCAGGAAACACTTGCATTGAGAGATGCAATGAAACTTTATATTGAAGTTGACTTTTTGTAGTATCTCCTAAACGTTTATTTTTAGGTTATCTTGAACAGAAAAACCCTGAGTACCATGCATTTTTAATCTCAATTGGTGCTGCACCAAGCATGTTAATTAGTATTCTTCCTTATCTGTCATAAGAATATTATGTATTTTATGTAGTATTCTTCCTCCTTTGCAGAGCTCCAAATAAATTAAGGGTGACAACATGCCATTCACTTCAACAAAACTTCACATAATAAAAATAGATAAAAATATTGCAAAAGAAAACCACTATGCTGGAGTCACAAGAATTAAAATATAAATGCTAGTGCTTCATTATCATACTCCCAGAGCACCAAAGCAATGACTAAGGCTCTCAAATAAATTTGAAAGAAATCCATTCTATCTACCCACAAGTCATGTGCCAAATAAACATAATTGGATCATTGTTACAGAATCAAAGAAAATTTTTGCAGCAGATATATGCTGCTCTAGCAAGTATATTACAGTTTCAATTATTATGTAGCTTTCATTACTTTTTTAGTTAAATAAAGCAGCAAATTATGTTCTCCATAATGTCAATAGTATTACTGTTTTGAAGTAAAAGCAAAATAATTTCCTTGCAACTACTTTCAAATTAAAGTCCAGTGACTTTAACTTCCCCTTAACAATCTAAGTGAATAAAATATAACCCAAAGACACTGTTTTTAAAGATGGAGTCTTAAAAGTGTGTCAGTACACACAGACAAAAGAAAAAAAATACCAGCATTTTCAAAACAATCTTAATTTTTTTTTGCTTTGCAGTTCCACACTAGAATCTAAGTGGATGAATTAGCGTGCACAGTTTAAAAATTAAAATAAAACCAAGCATTCCTAGCTGATGAAATAGGTTTTCCCCGAACATTTTGTAACTGAAAGAAACCACTAGAGGGCAAAATGTCCATTTTTAAAAACATAAGTGACCTAGGCACCTTTATATGAAAGAGAAAAGTAATAAGGGGGGGAAATTCCCCAAAGTAGCCTTTTTAATCTTCTTCCCCGCACCCCCCACCCCAAATTAAACAGAAGATTGTAATAAAATATCAATTATTAATATAATAATTGTCCCTTAATCTCTGAAAGGAGATGATTAGGTGACGTTTCTTATGAGGTCAAATCTGTGTTGTTACTTCTTGTTTCTTGCTTCTGCAGATAGCTACTTTTTCAAACACTTTGGTATTATCAGCACTAAACCTTTATTTTTAAGATATCTGGAAATAACAGAAACTTGAACTTGCAAATTTACCAAAAATGGGGAAAAAAAATAACTAGAAAGTCACAGGAGCAATGTCTTAATTTAGCACTAATTTTGGTTTGTCCAGCTGTAAGAGTAAATTCACATTGCAATTTTTTAAAGATCCAGCTGTACAGTTAAGCTGCTTTTATGACCAAGATACACATTAAAATCTGAGACTGAAATCTTATTGGGACAGAGCTATTAAAACTATTGCCAAATTCAAATTTTAGGTAACTTTCCCTCCAGCTGAGTCAGAGCCATGAACTGAGAGGCCAGGCACCACACGGAATACATGGAGAAAGTCTGACGTTGAAAGGTAGAACCATGCACCAGCACACGCTGAGACCTGCCTGGCTGCAAAACAACTTTTCAGAAAAGCACCTGAGGTCCTGCTGGAGTCAGCAGCGAGCCTCTGTTGCAAAGAAAGCAGATGGCATCCTGGGCTGCAGTGGGCAGAGCATTGTCAGCAGATTGAGGAAGATGATTCTTTTCTGCTACTCTGCACTGGTGAGGCCATGCCTGGAGAACTGTGCATCCAGTTCTGGGCTCCCCAGTACAAGAGAGATATCATCTTATTGGACTGAGTCAAGTCTAGGGCCAGTAAGATGATTAAGGGAATGGGGAATATCTCCTATGAGGAAAGACTAAGAACTGGGACTGTTCAGCCTAGACAAGAGAAAACTCAAGGGGATCTCATCAGTGTCTATAAACATCAGAAGGGAGGGTGCAAAGAGGACAGAGCCAGGCTCTTTTCAGTGGTGCCTAGTGACAGGACCAGAGGCATCAGGCACATGCTGAAACACAAGGGGTTCCCTCTGAACACTTTTTCACGGTGAGGGTAACCAAGCAGGTTGCCCAGGGAGGTGGTAGAGTCCCAATTCTTGGAGATGCTCAAAAGCTATCTGGACATGGTTCTGAGCAACCGAATGGCATCTCCGCTTGAACAGAGGGGTTGGACCGGGTGTTCTCCATAAGCCCCTCCCAATCTCAATTAGGCTTTGATTCTGTGAGTAACACTGAGAGGCAGTGACTCATTCTCAGTTACCCAGCTATAAATGACCTTGGGTAGTAAAGACACATAACTTTGTTTTTATGAGATCTAAAAGAAGACACCATAAAGAGGTGGAGTCTAAGTATAATTAATGGCTTAACAACTAAATAAATAGTTTTCTTCGGTTTTTAACAGAGCATGACATTGACCTTGCAGATAACAGTAAGAAAAATAAAAGTGTATATTAAAAAACCCTAAAAACATCGAAATAGAAGTGAAAACAGATCTCAAGGAACTAAATGTTTATGAATTACTCACAATTACAAGGTGAACTCCATCCCAGAACTGTGGAAGAACTGAAAAATGAAGCTGAAGGCCAGAGAGCATGTATTTTCAGATTGGCTTCCATAAGGGGAGAAGAAATCTGAAGAACTGCGAAATACAAATCAGCTGTAATGGGATCCCTCAATCTGCTTCGTGAGGTGTTGGCTACAATTAAATGTTTCTACACCAATGCACTGAGGAACAAACAAACAAGAGGAGCTCAACGCTTTGGCCCAGTCTCAGAGATTTGACATCACTGGCATAAATGAAATTTGGTGGGAAGAGTCCTGTGGCTGAAGTGCCCTGTTGGACAGTTACAGGTTCTTCAGGAGGCATAGGCAGACCAGAAGAGGTGGAAGAGCACTGTGTGTAATAGAAGGGTTAGAATGTATGGAGCTCACAGCTGGCAATGGCACAGTTGAGAGCCTCTGGGTAAGAATCAAGGGGCAAACAAAGAATACGGATGTCATTGTGGGAGTCTCCTATACACTTCCCAGCCAGGACGATGGCACAAACAAATTATTTTTTGAGGAACTAAGGGACACTTCCAAGTCAACTGCCCTTGTCCTGATGGGGGATTTCAACTTGCCATAAATTAACTGGGAGCATTACACAGCTGGCACAACTCGAGACAGAAGATTCCTGAAAAACATGGATTACAGCTTTATGGAACAGGTCCTAAGGGACTTGGAAAGATGCCCTCCTTGATCTGTTGCTTGTCAACAAAGAGGATCTTATGAGTGAAGCTGAGATTCATGGCCATCTTGGCCACAGTAACCACAAGGGGATCAAGTTTAAAATCTCTGTTAACTGAAGGAAAACCTCAGCCAGCAAAACCTCAGCTCTGGACATGAGAAGAGCAGACTTCAAGCTGCTCAGGGACCATCAGTGTTGGTCACATTTTAAACATCACCTCCTAAGGCCACAGGAGCAGGCAATTCTGAAATGTCAGAAACCAAGCAGGCAAGGCAGAAGGCCAGCTTGGCTGAGCAGGGCTCTTCTCTTGGAAATAGGGCAAAAAAAGGACAGTGTATGCCTAGTGGAAGCAAGATCCAGTGATGGGAAAAATTCAGAGATGCTGCTTGCCACTGTAGGGAGAAAATTCGTGTGGCCAAAACTCAGATGGAATTGAAGCTGCCAGAAATGTGGGAGACAATAAAAAGAGTACTTTCAAATATATTAATGGCAATAGGCAGTATAGAAATATCATCAGCCCGTTACAGGATGAGGATGGTTGCCTCACAGAGACAGAGACAAGGCAGAGGTGTTTAATGTTTTCTTTGCCTCTGTCTTCAACATAGAGTAGGGACCAAAGGGCCCTCAGTGCCCTGAGCTGGAGGACCACAATGGCAAGAATGATCATCTCCCAGTTGATCCTGAAATTGTGTGGGA